GAGGATCGTTATGAAACTATGTTTTAATTATACAGGATACTTCTCGAAGCTTGACACGGCAATACGTCGGCAGCCGGAAATTTATGATAAACGCCACGGCGGATTATCATGCGTGGTAGTATGTTGAAAATTTTGTAACTGAATACACTTGACGTAAATTGAATGTTTTTGCGCATAGGCCGTTTAAATCGCGATTATACGGGCAAAAGTCCCAGTGCGCCAATATATAGAACGTGTATATTCCAAATTCAGTTGGCCAATTACCAAGATAATAAGCTTTGAAAATTAAGCATAATAACCGGTTGGTTTAGCGCGCGAAAGGATTATTAACGCAAATGAAATCAATAAGCGGATGAACGAAAGGTTGACCAAATTTTGCACGGTTCACCGAGCTGTACGCTGCGTTTAGAGAGGGTTTATATGATTCTGTGATACTTAACATATTTCGACTAATTGTAACGCTTTATATTTACTCGGCAATATGTTATTACCTTTGGTTTGTCAATATTGCTTGTAATTTTTTTTATTTTTTTTTTTATTGAATTTTCACTTCACGCGTTTGCAATGTTTCAAAAACGAGAATCTAATATCGTTGAGAATTGTTGAGCGTTTTCTGCATTTTCACACAAATCTCCTACATACGATTTAAGCGAATTTCCTGTTTGCAATATCTCGTTCTCTCACGGCAAAAAGTAAAGACGATATAAGATTTCTAAAGCGGCGCAAGTACGGTGACCTGCGAGAAGTTTATTTTCGAAGGTTTCCGACATGATCGGAATTTGGATCAGATCGTGGGAAGAAGTTCGTTACAGTAACGAACTAGAACCTTTTACCGGACCCGTGCAGCCGCCCGATTCCTCCTTAATTTTGTTCCTCGGGTAAAGAAACGACGGGTCCGTTATTGGACAGATCCTGCAGACACGTTTGCAGTGACGCGCATAAACTTCCTCAAACGAACGACTGGATGAGCGTGAAATATATTTTATATATCCCAAACTTTGTTATTAGCCGGCAGATAGCTTTTTCGGATGATATTACACGAAAACTTTCGAATATCGGTTTCGGAAAAATCCATATTTCGCGAAAGTTTTAACGACAATGTGACTAAACTTCGATTATAAAGTATGATAATAGAAATTGTTCGACGGAATTATAAACTGAGATGTTTCTACTTAATGCAACTTTCCGTAATGTAACATGAAGAAAAATATAAGATATTTATAATTTCATTTATTAAAATTCAACGGTGTGCAGTTTCCGTGAAAAGATGAGCTTGTGCTATTTAATTTATAAACAAAGACGAGTCTCGATATATGTACTTTATCAGTGTTTGAAAGAGACAAGCAGCAATCCTTTTTTCTGTTTTCCTCTTTCTCGTTGATGTTGTATCGTACATTGGAGACGATAGATTCATATTGCGAAAGGTAAAAGTCCATTTCAGCCGCGCTATGTTTTCACGTTTCTTCGTTGTGCCGTCTCTTTTCTTCACGAATAAAAAGCCTTTTATTTTCTTTCCGGAGTTAAGGGCCCGGTGACTCCTTTGTCAACTTTTTGCTGCAGACAGAAGTGCATCTAACCTTCATTAAGCGTTGCCTGACAAATGCAAGAGTTTCTCTCCACAAACCTGATACAAGTACTTTCCAGAATAATAATATATTACAATAATCCGAAGTGGAAAATTTTAGCAGCAGAGATTTTATTTTATTACTTTACTAACGAAAATTAATATTTTGAGGATTGTGTAAAGCGTCCTTCGGCTTTCTTGGAAATCAGCGTCGAGCTGCAAAAATTTGCATTTTAATCTCCATACCATCGCCGAGAAGTTTCTACGCACTTTGCGAGACGTCCTGAAATGCAAGATTTTTTTAATAATAGAGGAAAGTTTTTTTCTCAGAGCAGGTACACCAATGCTTAATCAGACATAGTGAAAATAATAAAATTACAATTTAATCGAAAGCATAGTGATCGCTTTAATTATGTTAGGATGACATCAAAATTATCATATCGCATAGAAGTTACATAATTTTACAGCTTTGCGCGAAGCATAACAAATTATAGTTAGGGATTTTATTGTAAGATGTATAGCATTTCTTTAAAAACAGCCATTCCTTTATTCACGCCCAGTAAACTTTCTCGTTCATGATTAAAATCCTCGTGCACGATAAAATTCTTCTGTATTTGAGCAGGAGAACGCGGAAATTTTCTTCGAGTCGCAAACAAATTGCGATTCCGTGCTCCTGAAGCTCTCGAAGACTCGCTTCGCATTTCGCTTCATGGAACTTTATAAGTCCCATCTTCATGGTCCTCGCTGGCATCTGCGTAGAAATTTACGCGCGGTTTCGCTATAACGCGGCTATCGACTTGCCGACCGCGGGAATAAACCTGCTTTAATGGCATACTGAATCGGTTTAGCGTCTCGATAGATGCCGAAAAGGATTTTGCCCTCGCGTGGAACGCCGCCGACGCTTTCGTCTAATGCTTTCTAAAATTTGCATCCTAATCTTCGTAAGCCCCGCAGGGATTACCGCCGTCTTCTTTCACCGTCTCGAGGATTTGCTTAACCTCAGCTTTCTTTGAGAGGCCATCTTCGTCCTACCGCGATCGATATAACATTTTACGAGAATCTTTCACAAGATACAAGATGCGTAGTACATAAAAATATACTAAAAAGTGCAGTATATAAATCAACGTTTAAAATTAAAATATGTATTCTATAAGCTTGTTCAATTGCTACAAATTATTATATTTATATTAATATCTGTGATAATAAATGATTTATCGCATAACAGCTAACATGACTAACGGCACGCCAATATTATATAATGCATGTAAATATTTGATTTTACGTTTATAGCTCTAAAATATTCAAGTGTCTATAAAGACTTCCAAAGAGCAACACGGGACCGTTTGATGAAATATTCAGACTTTGTCGAACGTATGTCTACGCGAAAGTTTAGCATGAATCGCACATAACGTCGAACTGATCGATCTCTGGAAAGTAGGTGAAACTTGACATCAGTTTGAGCGTCAATTAATCAGAAAATTAAAGTAAATACTAGCAATAATATTAATGTGAGTTAAGCACAACGCGAGATTTTGAACCGCGATGGGGTGGCCACCGGATTGGCAACTAATCAAATATGGGACTGATGAAGGAGCGAAGGTAGGAGATTTATTGTAAGTAAATACAATTATAGGAGTTACGAGTGCCTCGAATAACCTTCGGCCCCAGCTGACGCTAACCCGAGTACAGCTAACCTGACCTAACTAAATAATCGAATTAGAGACGCCTTCTACCGCGATGGTGCCCGCTGCGAGGTCCATTTCTCGTCTTCTCTTCGTCCACTTCTGACTTACGTTCGCCACAATCTCCGGACCTTGTTCTCGGAATTGGCCTGGGAGCAGCAAATTGACTGCGGTTTAGCGACGGACACGATCTCTCAGGTGTTGCGACGATAGGTCGTCAAGGAGCGAAGACAGTGGCGTCTGAATATAAAATTAGAAAACGTCGGTAAACGGAAAGATTCTTAAAAATACTAGCGATATCTCGAACACACATAAATGAACCAAAAATAGGAAGAAAAATAACAATTATTTTCACGATCACGATTAATTTAAAACTTCAGTTTAACATTGAACAGTTTCACAATCCAATAATACAATTTTTACGTTAATTAGTTTTTCCAAACTGTTCTCGATTTTCTGCCGTATAAAATGTGCGATGAAAAGAACAGTGCCCCTTCTGTGTAATTTTCGACCGTAGCATTGTATTACTTGTAGACGAAAATTCGCATGCACCACGTGTCTCACAACTCGCCAAGTTTCCTCGCGTCGACAAAGTTCGGATATTGATACCCAGCGATTCGACGAAACACTACGCCGCGCTTGCCTTCTAAATAGCTTCCAAGTGCTACAAACGATCCTCTCAGTTCTCAATTGACGTCTGATCAATCTGGAGGAAACATTGTACCTTCTTTGAGACTTCTTGTGCTGAAAAATACAACTTCCCTGTCGTTTACAGGAAAAAGTTTCCGGACTTACAGCCGTTTGCGACAACGAAACTTTCGCGTGTCCGAGTTGTTAGCAAGAAGTTCGCACTTCGTACAATGGCATATTGACACGCATTTTAAACACAATCTAGTTCTGTGCGCAAAGAATTTTCAGTCACGTTCTGCATTACTTCAGAGATTAATAGTGATAATTGGATTTTCTATGTGATCAAGATTAATTAAATTTTATTCAATATTAGACACTGAAATCTTGTATTATAAAATTTGATAGACTTAGTATTTTAAAATTTATACTTTTTTTTTACTACGATGCATTAAAGTCCTATATTTTAAACAAAGAAAGAATGTAAAATGTTAATCAACTAATGTATAGAAAAATTGATTACTATAAAGAAATATTTTTATATAAATTTTTACATAAATTTAATAATTACATTAAAAAATTGCCCATTATTTACACGTTATACGCGGATAATATAAAAGATTATTGATTTATGATAACTGACAGATAGCTATACGATCGTTATTCACCGCGAATTATTCGTTTTATATCTGGCCGAATTTCTTGAAACCCGCTTGAAAGGCTTTTTTCATCGATGGACTATCGGTGAAACGCGCAACGTCCGGCAAGGACGGTCCGTCAATAAAAGCGCAAGCGGTGATTTACGAGCCGCATGCGGAATGATGACAAAAACAGGCCGCAATAAATCGCGCGAGTACATCGACCCCGCGGTTATTTGCTATATATCACTTTGAAAGAATTCGTAAATTTGCCTGCCGCGCGCGTCAAGATCCCATCGTAAATACCGTGACCAGCGCGCGCAGGTCGTCACGGAGCGGAGACAGGCAGAAGAGCGTCTCGCCGACCGTAGGTGGCCCGCGGCAATTTATCACGCTAATGTTTTCTTTTATTGTCGCAACGCACAAAACCTGGTGCGGTTGCGCGCACATATGAGGCGCACGCTTACATGCGAAATGCACGTGTTTCAGAATAAACGAGAACACAACACGATCGCAGTTCCTGGCCTACTTCAGCTTCTCGTCCAACACAAGTACGTCTGTCGGCTGGCCGGTGAGAGGCGGACATCCGGTTAACAATACGGGTAAGATGCTCAACTCGTTTTTTGCGATGAATTATGTTACGCTTTAATGCTCAGTATCTTAAACCCACATTTTTGAGTGTACTTTGTACTCGTTCAACAACGATTTCGCCGACAAAACATTTATTTTTTTACAATATTCGAAATTAATTTTTCATAGAATTATATAACTGTTATAATCGTTTATTAAAAGAAACTACGACATTGAGAAATCTTTGGATTTAAATTTATTGATTAAAAACAGAAGATTAGTATTTAATCCGTTTAATATCTTCCACTACAAAATCTTCAAAATTGTTTCCTAGATTGACTTATCTTATACTGATGGAACATTTTGTACCGCATTGTCACGGGCTCGATAACGCGCGCCTAAAGTCACGAGGCAATCACGAAAGCGGTGATCTGTTGGACAAGTGAGATTATGGTGCTACGTAAACTTGGTTGCCTGGTCGCGCTCGCAACACATCCTGTTCCAGGCAGCTCCTATCATAGACTATTGCTTAAACTACACGCGAACAACCTAGTTCACTATCGGCTTCCCCATGACGGTAAACTTCATCTTCCTGTAAATTACACCCTCGTGGTGTGGCTTATCACGCGAATGTTCAACTGCGAACAATCTATGTAAATGGACATTTTTCTCAACACCCTTGTGACAAATTTGCGAGTCGCGAAAGTGGACTTTTCTTGCGCAAATAATGATTGTGTGTAACTTCCTGCTTGCACTTCTCGCGAGGGAACAATATTTTCAGAAATTTTCAACAAATAAACAACAGTTTTTGTAACACTTTTGTAAAACAGAGTGCGAAAACATTTCCGCGAGCAAATTAAAGGAGCAATTCTACCCGAGACTCTTTCTGCAGGCCGCGTCGGAACAAAAACAAACTATTTAAGTAACTCGCTAAAGCATAAACCCCGTAGCATGTTCGCAAATTATCGATGCGCGTTTTGCATGTAAAATCGAGTTACGCGTTAACCTCGTTGCCCTCTTCGATTAAAGCGTACGTTGGCGAACGTTCACCAAGCCCCAAGCGTATCGCCTGTAAAATTCACAGCGGGAAATCAGAATCGCGACGAATAGAACGGGCAGAGAACGAAGGCGGGGATTCGTAAGCGCTAGAGTGTACGCGAGCGTGTATTCTTCTCTCTCGCGCGCGAAATTCAGGTAAAATGTGAGAAAGGCATGAATTTCGAGAACTCTCGTCCACGATGATAATTCTGGAACCGCGCGTCGGTGAATGTGGAAAATGTGAACGGTGAACGCCGGAGGGAAAAGGTGGGACGGCTAGAACGCACAAATTTCCTCGCGCGAGCAACACGAAGGGGTAATTTCCCCTCCGTAGTCAGAACGAAAATTATACGAGCTTAAGTGCGGACCAGTTCGGGCTTAAGTGAAAGGAGGCAACGACGAACCGTTCAGTTTCGAAGCCATTTAGCCGTCGTGATCGAAAGCGTTAACGGGTTATACCACCAGTATCGATCTTCCCGACGCGACTACGCGATTTCTATCTTTAAACGCGACGCCTTTCTAATCTCCTATGCGGTCGATACTTCTCTGCGAAAATCTAGTCGGGATGGCTTTAAGATAGCCATGGATTCTCTTAAATTGCTCGAGATCGAGTATCGTCCGCGTAATTTCGCGGCAAAAAATACTGGAAGATAATTGGGTAAACAATTTAGTATTTAAACTAAATCGTGTGTGTTTTAGAAGTTTCTTTAATGATATTGGCGCATCCTGTATAAATCTTAGCTTTCAAACTCTTCATTATCTGCAATCAATCAATTAAATACCATTCGATCGGACGGCGATCTTGTACCGCTTTGATGGCTGCGTTGTGTATGTCGTAGGTAGTGAGAGAAAATTGAAAAGCCCTTTTAAAAAAATTGCACGACGCTGTTATGAGAAAAGTTTCGTATATATGTGCCTTGGACTTCCGCGTCTGGTAATATCGTGTAATGACATACCAGAGTTCTTTGACCCGCCGTCACCCCGAGAAATATAAGCCGTATTCGCGAACAACCGGTGCGCCAAAGAGCAAAAAAAAATACGCAAGAACACTTTCGTCGTTTTATTTCTTATTACACTTAAAAATAGAACTATATTTCACAGCTGAATTTTACAACATTTGTGTGACGTGACGTGCGTAAATTACAAACGCGTCAAACTCGTTTGGAGTGAAACTCACACACAAAATTGAACAGTAAAATACAATATTTTACTTTACTTTTATTTTTATTAACGCGTAGTTCTTCCTCAAAAAATCTCTCCGCTTCTTGCACAAGTATTTTGGCTGTAATTGATCACAATTACAAAGGATCTTCACACTTTAAATCGGCTTTAAACACGCCTTTGAGATGACAAATGCGTCCCGTGAAACGAAGGAAATGCGGAACGGGCAATCAGCAATTTCTTTCGAGGTGCCGCACAGTGGCGACTGAAAAGGCGCGCGTCGAAGGCAGCGATAAGAAGAGGAGCGCGCTGAGAAGAGCGAGGGACGAATCCCGCGCGACGGTAAAAGCGACCCTCGTGAAAGCTTCCCTTCACAGTAAACTGTAACGAGACGACAACGATTCTCGATTATCCTCGGGAGAAGGTCGCGGCGAGGCGATCCATATGCGCGGGACGTACAACTAGGAGACGTGACTGTCACTCCACCATTCGGATGAGAGCGAGGTCTTTTTTTTGTCGTTGGCACACGGTCTCGGCCCTCGTCCTATTGGGAAACGTGCGAGAGGCACGAACGAAAGAATGATAGGTGGTGGAGGGAAAGGATGTCCTCGAAAGAAGAACGGAAGGCAACGCGCAGAGAGAGAATGAGAGAGACAGAGCGAGAAAGAAAGCATTGGGTGGAGGCGCCGCCCGATTGACAAACAGATCAATCGTGGGTGGAAAGACGATCTGCAGTCTTACCGCTCGACCTGGCTCCGCTTTTCCCTCTCGGTTTCCCCACACGTGCATTTACGCAGCCTGCGCGCTTGCCCACCCACTAAACGAGGGAAGTCGGCCCTTCCGCTTTCGAATTTATCTCCCGTTCGGAAGAACCGGCCGACGTTCCGGGGTGATTTATATAAGAAGAGGAAGCAATTGTGCGACTAAAAAAGATCGCCTTGTTAAAAAAAATGTTATTTTCAAAATGTATCTTTCACATGGGCGGATGTTATCGTGAAAGAATGAGCAATATTTATGCATATATATATAGGCATTTTAGCTTTAAATTAATTAAATTTTGTAATTTATTTATATGTTTGTCTACAACAAATTATTCGAAATTATTTATTTATTCGTTGCCGCAGAAAGTATTAAAGAAATTAAAATTAGAATGTTTATTCAAATACAGAAACATAATGGATTGAAAGACAAAGTATACGTTAATCAACTGACAAAGCGATCAATTGCTGATAAGAAATCCAGTTGATTTACAAGCTTGTGCTATCGCTTGACTCTATTTCTCCCCTTGCTTTCCGTACAATCGCGCAATCGCATAAACTGCACTTACTAGAGAAGTGCTCTTAGCTGGCGCATTTAAGATAGATTATTCCACTGAAAGTCCAGCACAGATCTCAGCACGTTACTTTACGTACATACTACTAAAATTTCAGTGCATCTCGTCTTGTTTATGTATTAAGAGGACTTAAAGCGCTGAGAAGTTTTAAAGAAAATTAATACTATTAATTAATAAATAGAGAAAGATGGAAATTTTGAAATAAACAAACATTTGTTTAAAATATATTCTGTCAAATTTACAATTATGTTTCACATTTTAATAAATGTTTATCTCATAAATTTTTAATCGGAATTGCAATGTGTGTTTTGTATATATTATTTCAATAATGTATAATATACACTCTATAACAGCTATACAACAGCCAAACCTAATTTTTCAATCTGTAAATATCTATCTACGAAATAAAACGTGTTGACAAACACGTATCGAAATACGAGACGAGTATTACTGTGGAAAGTTTCACGCACCATTTCATTTCACTGTATTTTCCCACGATTTTCTAGCTTACCATTTATTTAAAAGCTCAAACTGCAGTCAATGATTGCCTGCGAATTTCGTTAAAAACCGCTTACTCGTAATTATTAAATTTTAATTAATTATATCAATGTTTGTCAAACTGCGGATGCATTAATTATTTTATACAACTAAAATTTTTGGCAGAATATTACGAAATTAGAAATAAAAGCAGGAAATAATTTTAATTTCAGTTTTATACACAAAACTCACTAGAAAAAAGCTGACGCTTATTCAAAAACTGACGGTCGTCGAAAAGTTAATTGCGCCTATCACAAGTTCGCCGTTGCTTATTTTTCTTTTCCTGCCTTCATCGTACAAATGCCTATGCAATTTTTGCAGCTTTCCTCGCTTGAAGCGCGCGGTGCGCGACATTTTAGAGCCTCGCTTCGTGCACCGCGCGTTTCTCGCGGCCAGTGAATAGAGCGAAAATAAAGAAGAACCTTCCGTAGAAAAATTTTGCCGAATCGCGAAAACTACGCGGAAGAAACGAGCATTCCTTTTTTTCCCCTCTCTCTTTCTCTCTCTCGCAGCATTTCCGCCTCGGGTTCGTTATGGCGTACCGCGAAAGAAAGTCTTCCGCGCGTCTTCTGCGGGCATTTACATAGAGCCCTCACTTTCTTTCCTCCTTTCTATCGCTGCATTAAAGCATTTCACCTTTACTCTCTTAAACGCACAAGCGGACATTGAGTTTCTCAACTGGTGCATCCACCGGTGCGATAATTACGCCTGCTTACAGAAAATCGGCTGACGGCATTTTCATCAACACTCAATCGTGCAAAAATAAATAAATTTTTCCATAAAGAGATATAATTATAAGTATATTTCCATATATTTCTTTCTCTCAGTTATCTCTATAATTTTTTCCTAAAATGACAAAAAATTTCCTGAAAAGTTGATTTTCCTGAAATTTTTATTAAATTACGGAAAACATTTGTTAATATTGATAGATGTATTCATTGTTGTAGAAAAAAAAAAAAATTAATTTTTCTAAAATTTTTATTAAATTACGGAAAACATTTGTTAATATTGATAGATGTATTCATTGTTGTAGAAAGAAAAAAACAAAGTCGGCTCGATAATATACAATACGAGTGTACTGTACAGTTATATTTATATAGTGCAGCAGTGTCGTAAAACTTTTTCTTTGATGTCATTAACACGGCCAACGGTGTATCCGTTTGAGCCGCCTTCGCGCTAACGAGGCAACTTTTTGAACAAACTAACGCGCAGATAATAAAACTCGATACCCTTTCAATTACACGTACAATTAACGAACTCGAAGTTTTTTAGAAGCCAAACAATCGACGCCCATTAACTGCACGTTCCAATTATCATCCGGCCGATCGCGCCGTGTCTAAGAAATTAGTACCAGCCTCGCTGCGCTTGTTATTAAATAATTAGCAACTCGCCGTTGCGCTTTTTCGATCGACGATTGGTTTAATTGATTGGGAGAATTTCAATTATTACTGCAAAAAGGACTGCTGCTTAAACGAGAAGCGCCCAAGGACGCGGAGAATGAAGGACTCAAAGAATTTCGCGCTTTAAGGTGGAAAATGGAAAGGGCGGGGTCGTTTATGGTAAAAATACGCTTATACGCTGGAAGGAGAATTTCCACAGCGAGATGCAAAAGGCATTATATAAATTGAGAGAATCGTGTACTTGAAGATGGACGCGTCTCATATCTAATGGGTCTGCTCATTATGACAATTGCATACGCCGGAATTATACAGCTAAGCGAAGAGCGAGGGGAAGGACGGTCGGACAATCAGGCTGACAAATCTTTTTTTTTCTTTTTTTTTAAGATAACGAGTCTACCTTAATGTGGATAGTTCCGTAAAACAAACGCGAACAAAATCACTGCGAGCAAACTCAACGTCAAAACTCTTTGTGTGGACGTTGTTTGACGATAAAAATTCTGTTCGCCACTGAATCAACCTCATGCGTCGCTACGTTATTAAAATGATATTAATGTCTTTTTCGTATTTGTGTGCAGCTGGCAGTAATAAATACGAGTCCATTATGCGTTTATGGAAATCACGTGTTTGCATACGTTATGAAAGTGGAATAATTGGACACGCAACGGATTGTCAATCACTGTTTGAATATTACAACAATCGGCACGGATGCATTGATTTGCCTATTTCGAAAATAGCTTTGAACCTCAATATTTTCGCATAATGTGTATATTAACTAATAACGTTCCGATTTCCAATAAATCATACAAATCGTTAATACGAAATAAATTAACGCTTCCAAAAATTATTTGCTTTGTTGGTTGTAAATTAATTTATGCTACTCGATCTCTCAAAAAATTTCTAACAGTAAATGCATTATAAAACTGCATTTACAATGCATGTTTTAACGCTTGTAAGAATTCACGTTCTAAACGATCGGTCAATTTTTTTACGAATATCTTGGCACAATTTACATTTACATAAATATTAATGTAATTTATATCATCGCGTGATAATCACCGAAATGGAAATGCAAACTGCATGCTGCGAACTCGTGGCCCGTGACTAAATTAGTAATGCAGGTCGTATAACGAATAATCTATAGCGCATAGTTGGCAATATTTCGGACCTCGGATCTCGAAAATATTAATTGAGAATCATGCGAGATGGATGCGAGATATCTCGTTAGCTCGTTCTAATTGGCCAGCACGTGTTGCTGTTGACACGTCCGTCCGTTTTCCACTTTTCGAATTTTTCATGAAGCCGCCAGACATATTAATTATTTTCGGTCTTCCGCAAATTGTTTACGCTCGGCAAAACCCGCCTGTCGAACAGTCAGAAATTGAAGCAGACTGTCGCCGTTTAACTGACAGCGTTCAGCGCACCAGTAATCGTCGATTACCTGCATTAATAAGCTTACAGGAAACATTTTATTTACGGTACAGCGCATAAATTAATATACATCTTAATTAATATTTAAATTGTTATCAAAATACCGCGAATTTAGTATTAAAAAACTGACATTGCCCTTAAAATATATTTATTTAGTGACGTTACTGATAATTGAAGGAAAATGTAATAAAATTCTTTTCATATTTTTTTCTAAATTATTAACAAGAAATAATAACATAAAATATAATTAATGATGTAACTTTTTTGAAATTATTATTCATATAAATGTAGAAATTAGAAGAGAAGCGAATAGAAATTCTACATCGCTAACGTATATCTCTCGTGCTTTCTTGTCTGTAGAATGCGATTCGGTGTACGAAGACACGGATTGTCACAACGGATGCGTTCTAGCCAGCCCCGGATATCCTGGACTGTATCCGCCGAACATCCGTTGCCGGTACCTGATCACTTCTGGCCCACGGATCTCCATCGCCATTAACTTCACAGCAGTGCTTCTTCCTTACAAGTAAGTGCTCGACCGTCCAACAATGACAGTTCTCCAGACTTCCAGACTGTGTAGAGAAACGACCGTGTAGACCAGATCATCAATAAGTTTCCTTATTTCCAGCAAATATCCAAGAATATCCGTTCGAAAGTTTGCAAGACATCTACTCTCATTTCCATTTTCTTTATTTCTAACTTTATCTAAAGACTACGTCATATATATATATATTAAACATGATATAAAAAGCTTTCGCAGTACACGTATAACGCTTAATTTCGTGCACAATTAAATGAAGTTATACGAGATCCGCTAAATAAGCACTTTGGGGAAATGGTGATTTTCTTTTATGCAATATACGCGCAATATTGCGTCCATTTCTTTTACGTATTCATGATGCGTGTCCGTTTCTTTCGGCGTAGCTGTATACCGCGAAAAAACTACACGAATTCCACGATTCGGGACTGTTTTACGACAAATTAAAATCCCCGGCAAGCCGAACGAGGAGCGTCGCGTCATTTTTTAGCGGCTCAGTTTTTTGCCACCACCGAGATATTTCGAAATAGTAGCTCGATGTTAATGCGTGAAAAAAAATTAACAAGAATTAAACACAATTTTCAGAATTCTCGAAAATTATTTCGATTTAAATGTCATCCATTGACAGTATTATAATGGAAAATGTCTGTTTTATTTTTTCCGTCGAAATTATATGTGAAAGAATTCGTAATAGAAAATTTGATATATTAATCCAATTAATATTTAATTTATAGCGTATGTTATTCAAAATTTGCTTTAAAATTACACAATTAAATTCTGGTAACAAAACGATTAAATTATTAAGCTTTGCAACGGATATAAAATTATATAAACATTTTTTGATATTATTGATTGCATACAAATAATTGATATTGAAAGAATTCAAAATTTCCTTTCTTCTGTACTTTGATACTTTATGACAGATGCTACCTTTGTGTTGATTTCAAAGTCTCGCCGAGTGTTTCTCCTTTCGTTTGCCATCACAGTCGGCTCGAATTACATTAGCGCGTTTCCGACCAAAAATGAAAGAGTAGCCAGAGAAAGAAAAGGGAAAAAGAGAAATTTCCAACTCCTTTGCAATCTTTAGCCCGGTATTTTTAATAAAACTACCCGCTTAAACGCAGCTCAGCTTGCATAACGAGCACGAAACTCCCTTTACGCCGTGTTAACCTCGCATGCATATAAATCATTTTACGCTTTACCGAAGAATCCGCAGTCGTTTTCGAGTAAACCAAGCGCCTCCGTTGCGCTCGCAGTAACCGCATGTAATAATCTTCACACAATGTTTTAAGAAACTCCGCACTTCCGGGCACTAAATGAGACTGAATAAAAAATAATAATCAAATTACTATCAAGTAACGCTCATCTGGTAAATACTTTTTAATCAAATTTGCAATTAAAATATAATAATTATGTATAAACAAAATAGCAAAAGTACTCATCGATATTTTATACGCTTTAATCGGTCGCCTCTCTCTGAAGCTTATTTTAAACGTTATCAAGAACCTGCGATGACGACTAACGTATGCATCTTAATGGCGCAACGACGAGCAGAGGAAACCAGACGCGGTGCTCAAATCCGTAGCACACCCTCGCGTGCACGCACATGCACGAAAGTGCTCGATGCGGAATCCGGTTTACAGAAATGTCGCAAGTCAATATACGCTCGCTTTGCACTTTGCCGAGGGTAAGAGCCCATTTGTGCGTATTCGTACGAAGCCGCGTGTACGGAAAGGGCGCGAGCGCCTTGGTATTTCGATGCTTGATAATGCGTCCCGCGTCTCGTTTCACCAGCTGCGTCAACAACATCTCTCCCCGTGTTCCCTCTATCACGCGTTTATCCCCTCGCCTGAATCATTCCGCGAACAATAAGAATACGCTCATACACCTCGCGTTTCGCTATTGTGCGTTTTGAATCACTTACCCCACGCTGCCAGGCGCGACCCCGTTAAATGCCCCGCGTTGCGATTCCTCTGGATTTTCACACCACCGCGTACATCTCGCAATCAAAGATAGCAGATTTATATCCTGATAATTTTTATATTTCATAAAGATGACTGCAAAATAATATATTTATCATGAAAATTTTATAACCGAAATCAAATCCATCAAGTATGTAGTTCGATGGTTTATTCGCGATTAAACACAGTTGACTTACAATGCTAATGAAACATGTAATTTTTTGAGAACAAAATTGAACTTAACCAGGGAAATTTTTGCGAGACAATGAAAAACGATGCAAGCGGAGAGGAAAGTAGCCGCGTTACGCCGACGATGGGGAAGAGCTGCAGCACTACAGCTGCACTCGCTTTTTCGCAGCGGCAGTTGTTCTCCAAAGCCTGGGCTGGCTGGCTGGCTGGCTTTTACGCCGGTGGCCGATGGAAAGCCATTTCACACGGAGTCTCGCAGTCGCAAGTATACTGAACATTTCCGTTCTTTAAAGACGGTCGTATTTTTAAACCTCCTCCATCGGCGTCTCCGGTCGCTTTATTTGCGAATACTATGGCGAACAGTAATATTGAAATTGATAGCCGGATGACCGCGTAAAGGAACCTAGATTTCTTCCTTTCTTGAACGTCAATTGCATTCTCAGCGTCCGAATGCTTTTACCGATTGAATATTCCAAGAAGGAACCGGGAAAATGTGTTACTTCTGCGACGAGGAGCGCGCTATGCTCCTCGCATTTATTTATTACGTTTTAAATCGCCTAAAGAATCTGTGCAAAAATATTGGTGGATAAACGAAAAAGAATGAATGTGCTTTAAAATAGCGCTGCAGGAAGTTTGTTTCGTTCCCTTCAAAACATTTTAATAGCAATCCGCGTGTTCGTGTAATCACGCAGCGGAAAACTTTGTTGAGTTCCTATGGAAAATATATCGCTTTTTGTGGCGACTGCATTTGCTTTTGCGGCAATAATAAAGCGTATTTTCCAACAGGCTGCGGTATACGTATCTCGGAAAACAAACCCGCGCGCAGGTTTGCCAGCCGCGGACTGCCAATCACGTTTGGAGTTTGGTGCACCGTTTCATCCCTATCGAATGGCACGGTTCGAGATTTATCGTATGCTCTTACGAGCCAAACGTAGAATTGACAATTGTAAAAAGGTCATCGATTGCATCGCGTTTGAGTTATATTTTTTCTCGCCGAGCCACTGGCGTTCGACTGGCTCGGTACTCGCAGTGCGTTCGAGAGCGGCGACCGTATTTCTGCGTCGGCCGATCTACAACTCTCAAATCGAGGGCAACTCGCAATATTGTGCCGATTCGTAACTCGTTCATCGATGTTCAAGTACAGCCGAAATATTTATTTCTGAAAATATTTTGATGGTTTTGCTCGGAAAAAAAAGTGTATTACAAAAATTTTTAGTTATAATTTGTACAATTTTCTACGTTAAACTTATTTTTCACCATTTTTACTATATTATATTGAATGTTTAAAAATATTATTTAATTTTGGAATTTAAATGTTGATTTAAACCGAGAAAAAAAATATGGCAGAGGAAGATTATTTATCGGGCAAATTATTTTAGCGAATAATAAAACTGACTATTGTATCGTAGTTTGAGATATTCTGCAAATGTTTGCCTGTTATGTTACTGCGTGAAAAATATATCGGCTGATAAAAAAAAGTCGCATTACGCAACTTACATGATAGCATTATGGCTGTCGTATATTCTTTGTACCGTGAGTTTTGCACGGCATGGGAGTTTAATTACGCCGGTCCGCGCTTCCCCGCAGGCATTTTCCCTGGATTTTACATACATACAAAATTACACGGGCGAAAGAGGCTTATCTGGGAGCGGCCAATAGAGACACGGCGAAGGATTCGCCGACGTATTCACGACCGGGGTACACACTACTTTCTATTATCGCTCACGCTGAGTTTCATTCATGAATTTTTTTTTTTTGTAACTCTTGCATTACGCGTAATTTCTCTGGCGAAAAATTTTGCGGGAAAAAACATCGCGATATCGACTAATTACAAACCGCCTGTTTTTTGCTCGTATTTATACGCGTAATACGAGTGCATAACGAATTCTAATTTGTCACATGCGGACGAATTAATTTCACAGAGGAATCTATTAGAGAAAACCGTGGACGTTGAATCGAATACCTTTCATTCATGCACCGCGTGTTTTTGCGCGACGTTTTTTTACGTGTGTCGATGCGCGCGGCGTTCTCAGCGATATATATTTAAAAACGTAAATACGTGTTAATATAGATTTATTTATCAAGGCGGATGGCCTCTACGATCATTTTCTATGGATAACGCAACAACGCTGCGCAGCTGCTCGTTAAATGTTGCCGTTGTATTGTTACACACTAATTATTCATATCGCATGCATTATCTTCCGACGTTACGGGTTTACTATTGCGTGACTTATGACTACGGATCCGCTAACGCCTAAATAAGTCGCTGCACATGCCGTAGAAGGTAAACCGCCATGTAGGTAACGACCAACCAACTTGCAGGAACATCCACGGATCAGGCTCAAAGGATTTGCGGTTGCCGAATGCACGTGGTACCTCACTCTCGCTCTTCGCATCCATTATTCAATCTCATTATAATTAATCGTATGAAATTATTATTTCGCACGGCTGCAATTCCAATGATTTCACCCTCTTCACAGCTTATAAACCGCAGCTTATAAATGAAGGGTGCATATTTCATTCTACGAATTCGTCCTCGTTACCCGCCTCCTAAATTATTTTAGCAATCCGAAATTAAAAGATAATCGTCACGAATTTGTCTTGTTAAAAAATAATTGTATTATTTAGGCGACTTTTTAACTTAAAATGCAAGACGGAATTTATTCCGTCGCAGAAGCACAAATCATGCTAAACGGTCGTAAGAATCACGGTCTGTTCGCGTCGAGAAAACCTTAATTTTCTCTAAAATGCTCCTCATTTATATTCTTCGACTGATATTTCGAATCGGCACACATGTTACACGCCAGATGTTCATTCGAATCCTTTTTCCGCGATAGA